AGCAATTGGTCTCTGATGAAGATAAAGCCCAATTAGCAAGTAAAATGAGTCCTCTGAAAGATGAACCATGGCCTATACATCCTTGGGAACCAGGTAATTCTTTTTTATTTGATGAGTTCTAATTTTGGTGTGGATGGACTATTTAAAATTATAGGGATTGCTGGATAAATTTTTCATCTCTTGAATTAAGGTTCATGTCTTCAGTTTGTGTGTTTCATTGTGATTTGGTTTGCAAGTTTATTTCTGGCTTCCTAATCTGTTAGTGAAACACCTCCTCAAGAAACTGTTTTGAGGTGAAAGGAGACTTATTCTGCATACATTCTCATTTTCTTCAGATAAACAGAATACAAAATAAATCAGCAAAGAAGGGGTAGAATATGATGTAAAAATTGAAATATGTCACAAAAATGGTTTCATTTGGGATGTTCCAACATTTTAGGTTTGCCAAAAATGACCCCAATATTAGCTCTTTGTATCTGGTGAGATATTAAGCCCCTGTGTGGCCAGTCCAAGAAGAGAAAGGCCTTTCCCATTGAGTCTGTAGTCTCTGGTTGGATATATTGTGACAGTTGATTGTATAGTAGCCAAAAGTTCTTAGTAGAGCATCTTTGCTGATTATGCAACAAATGTAAGCGTTATGATAGAAATTAGCATATTTAACACTATAACTAGTTGTAGCATACTTTCTTAGAATTTAAGTGGTAGTTTTTTTTTTTTTTTAAAGATAGAGAGAATTTTTTTTAAAATTTATTTTTTCAGTTTTCGGTGGACACAACATCTTTATTTTATTTGTATGTGGTGCTGAGGATCGAACCCAGGGCCCTGCACATGCCAGGCGAGCGCACTACCGCTTGAGCCACATCCCCAGCCCAGTAGATGTTTTTTGATTAATAAAGTTGGGCATGAATTGGTACTGCATAAGCACAATGATGGATTTATGTACCTATGTATATGCTATTATTTAAAAACTGGAATATGCTAGCTTACCTTATTTTCTTTATTTGGTACAGTTTTCTTTCATTTGATCATTTTACAAACATTTATGAATATCAATATATTATGCCAGGCATAGTTAAAGACCTGGCATCTGTTGCATCTGTAAAGATCAATCTTGTTTACTCTGTGACCATACTAGCATATTTTTTTATATGCCCACTCCTTGTATTAAAACCAGATTTTAGGAGAGACTATTAGATCATATTGGCAAGTGTTCAGAAGCTTTTGTTTTAATTTCCAGGTTCTTCTAGAGTTGGCCTTATTGCTGTGAAACTGGGTATGATGCCTCTGTGGACTAAGGATGGTCAAAAACATGCGGTCACATTACTTCAGGTACAAGATTGCCATGTTCTAAAATATACTCCAAAGGAAAACCATAATGGAAAAACCGCGGCTCTCACTGTAGGAGGAAAAACTGTATCACATTTCCATGTAAGGATATATTTTCATTCCTAGACTAGTACATTTTATTAATTTCAGATATTTATTCTTTCATGTTTTGAGATCATTCTATAGCTACAAATTTGCATTTATCCATGAGGAAACTTTTGTGTTTGGGGGAGGCAGTCAAACAGGGCCATTTTGCTCAGAAGTCTGTGGGAATTTGAGTTTGTTYCAGTACCTCCACCTTCATCTGGAACAAGTGATTTACCTTTCTAATGTTAGTGTTTGCATATCTGTAAAATGAAGATAAAAAAAATTCGAACTGATGATGTTTGTCACAAGGATTAAATGTTTTTCAAATTTGCATGAAATATAATAGACACTCAATAAATTTGGTTATTTTGTTGTTTTTATTCCATTATTCCCATGGAAATTGACTCAGCATTTGACACCAACAGCATGTAAAGATTCCTTTTTTTATCTCTTAGAAGGAGCTTTCAGTTCTTGGGAGAAAGCTGTGTAGGAACCCTCATCAGATTTTTTTTTTTTTTAATAAAACATTTTTCTCTAAGTATACTACTAATAGAATGTTGACTGAAATTTAAATTAGGGGGGAGAAACTGCCCAATTAGTAATCTCTGTTGTGTAACTCTAAGCAAAAACTTTTTAGGTAAAGTGATGGTTTTCACTAACAAAACATCTTTAGATTTACTAGAACATATTGCTTAACCCTAAGCAAACACTTTTTCATTATAAGTCCTTTATGATTTGAACATGCACCTCATACTGTCCCTYTGTCAAAACTAGCAAATGTTTATTGTTTGCCCATTATTTCTTTGTCATAGTTAACTTCGTTGAGTGTTTATTACATGCTAGTTACATAAGCATTAAGCCTTTTACATTCATTACCTTAAGTAACCTTTTCAGCCTCTTAAACTGAAGCAGTTAAATAATTCACTCAGGATAGCCTATTRTTAAGAGGAATAGTGACAGATTCCAGAATCCTATGTGCTTAACCATTTCTTGGTAAGAGAGGTGAACAAATAAATTAGCCATTCTAGTACAGTATTATTAGAAATCCAAGAAACACAGAACTAGAGATAGCCAGTTCTTCCTTGGAAAATCCCAAGTGGTTTCAGACCAGAAAGGAAAATAAATGTTGAAGGCATGCCAGTGGGAGTGGTTTCTCAGAGACAGGTGGGATCATGTGTACTTGGGAAGAGACATATGATATGGCTGCATCTTAGTGTGTGGTTGCAGATGCAGGCAAGAATGGCAAAATAACTGTCAAGATGGGTGTGAAGGAGTTTAGACTTCAAAGAAATTTCTGAATTTTTTAACCAAGGAAGTAACTGGATCAAGTTGTTATCTTGGTTAACTACAATTAGAAGAGTCTGGTTTCAGGGAGTACTTTTAGGAAGTTGTTTTAAGAAACTAGGAGATAGTTGATACCTTGAATAGACTTGTGAAAAACTGGGTGAGTATGGGGATGAGGGTAAAAGGACTGAGGCATAGAACTATTTTAAACAAGCATCTGAGTCAGTGCTGATGCCATAAATTGGGAAGGGACAATGAAAGGAAAGCTTTGGAGGAAAGATGTGTTTGAGGTGATCCCAAAAAATCCAGATGAAGTTGTCCTATTAATAATGAAAAATATTCATTGTCAGTAGTGATTGAGTCGTCTTATAGAACTGGCCAGTTTCATAAGTGTTAGAGAAGTTAGCTAATTTTGAATATTACGGTAACATAGTCCTTTTTTTTTTCTGGTAATATCCATTCTTAACAGTTAATTACCTATCAAACTTAAGTTTCAGTTAATAACACAATGAGATATTTGTGGAAACTTTAAAAATATCAAATGTTTGAATTTTTTTAATTTGGTAAAAAAATTAGTCATAAATGTGTACACATAAATGTGTACCAGGCTTCATGTGACTAATTSTTTGGTTTGGCATAATACTACTGCTTTCTAATTGATTTTACTTTATTTCTGTAATAACTAGTGTAATTTTTTTCCTTACCAGTTTTGTAAATTCTTAACTTTATGGCCTTGCTCTTTGTAAGTCAGACACTGGGTTGGGATAATTTATTCTGCTTCAACAGATCTGTGAACATTGCTTCTTCCAAAATAAGAGATAGTGGGAACCAGTGGATGTAGACTTGA